TTACATGACATCAACACCATTACTCATACATCCCATGTCTATTCCCCAATCATTTACCATTTTCCAAATAAGGAGTGAAGAAATGAATATCACCAAGTCGATCATTAGTTGGTGAATTCCCACCATACACCAAAAGGCCTTCTTTCCCCTCCCACTCACCACGGGCGAACGCACACCAACCGCGAGGCCCGGGATGATGGTCCGAGCCCAGGCCATCATCCCACCTCTTCCACAGCAATGTTTCAGTGTCCAATGCATAAACCTCAGCAGCAAATTTCCCAGCACCCAAGTGGCCCAAGTCACTTGGGTCCACTTCACCGCCGTATATGATTATGTATTTACCAATTGTTACGGTAGAAAATACGCTCCGAGCTGTTGGTTTCTCGCCACTTGTCTCAACTTGGGCCCACTTACCCTGGGCTGGATCAAAGATGTGTACATCATCCACTTCCTCTCCAGCAAAGCCATACACAACCCATATTTTCCCTTGGACCTCTAGCAGGCCCGGCCCACCCCTCCCCTTCAAACTGTCACCCGGATTTGGGTATTGCATCCACTTTTGATCAACAACATTGTAGGCCCATAGATCATTGAGGCGACCGGCGACACCACATCCACCAAATATGTATACATGGCGGTCATCGGAGGTGACTGAGTGGTAACTCCGGTGAGGGGGCCCAGTGTCCCCACTTGAAATTAGAGTCCACTTGTTTGTGGATGTGTCAAAGGAATAGAGCTCATTGAGTTCATTGTGTTCATAATCCCTACCTCCAAATACATAAATAGTTTCTCCAACAGCTACCAGTGTCACACCAACACGTGGAGGCGGGACATCCCCGGTTCCTTCTATCACAGACCACGTCAGCTCCTTGATGTTGAACACGTGGAGCTTGTTGTCGACCGGGACACGTGGCGTGAATTCGCCTCCGAAAACATAGGCCTTCTGTCCTACTAGGGTAATGGCATGTGAGCTTCTTGCTCCAGGACCAGTCCCCTTTTGATCAAGCTGACACAATGATACAGATTTACAAATGGACACAAGTAAGATAACTTTGTAATGAATAACACCATTTGTTTCATATTTTTAAACTATATTTTTCATATAATTTTATGAAGGAAAAAATTGGACAAATGCAGAAGAAACCTTCAGTGGCGTTATAATGGATCTAACCAAGTAAATGGAAATAAGCAAATAAGGGTAGTGGCATTCAAACACACCCCTTTCTACCTTCCACACACTTTTGTTAATTTTTATATTTCGATATTCTTCAATTCATTCGATCCGAAAGCAAGAAATCGGGAGAGGTGTGGAAGAGGTAAAAATGAGTGTGTAGATAGCAATATCCACAAATAATATGTTAACATTGTGGGGAAATGGAAGTCATGCTAGCATCAGAGTCACATGTTGCAACAAACAATATACCAATTGAGATCACACCACATGTTATAATCTGACGATGTAGAAGAGATTCTACCGTATGACTTGGTGTATATATTGACGTAATGGATGACATATTCACATGGGGGTTCAAAATTTCTTATGTTGTGAGTCTAAACATGTAAAGATTCTACCTTAAACGCTCTTCGGGTCACCTCAAGCGGGTGATTGCAGGATGATGAGTTAGGATTAAGATGAAGAGTTTGATTTTCTTCCAACGTAACCAAAAACAGAGTATATCTACCAGAAAAAGCAACAAACTTCTAACTCAATCTCTTAAATCAGATTATAGTTGTAACCTCTACAACAAATCATGGAGATTTTCTCGTGTTTTCATTGACTTTAAGGAAGATGGGCAAAACCAAGATAAGCTGAACATGTAAAAAGATGCAATCTTTAACCAAACAACCTAAACCCTAAACCCTAACAAACTTACAAAGGAGAAGAGAGAAATAAAATTAAAAAAAAAGATATATATGCACCACACAGAGATTGGATAAGCATTTGATGATAAAATATAGTACCACTGTAATTAGGGTTTCATTTCATCAAATTTTGAGAGATTAATCTTTGAAATTAAGCTGGGGATCTAAATAAAACACACGTTGAAAGGAAATTAGTGAAAGGGAACGGACCTTGATCCATTTGCCTTGAACCAGAGACATTGCTGGAGAAGTCTCACTCGCTCTTGAAACTCTGTTTTGGTGGCTTTCTCAAATGCCTGGATATCTGTTGGAACAGACTCTACCTTGTACATATATATATACACATATACATACACACACATGTATTCGTATCATATGTATATCGTGACAAATTCTCGGTGACAAATTCTCGTCGTTTTCAATGTCTTAGTGCTCTAGTTCGGTTAAGTTGCATTTCTTGCCCTCGTATTTTGATTCAATTTCCAATTTGGTTAATATTACTTTAATATTCACGGTTTTAGCTCCGTAGTTTGGTGCAGTTTACAATCGAGTCCAAATATTAAATTATGCTGAATTTGAACGTTAGATTCAAAGCTTTAAATAATATACAACTACCACACGTGAGGGCATTTTGTTCTCCCCACATTTGCAATCGACTCAGGCCTTAATCATATCGTTCTGTTTTTTTTCTTAACAATTTTAGACTTGTAGGACTTAATTGCTAACTAAACAAAACAACGGGATTCAAATTTCGAAAACTAAAGGGATGGGGATCAAATTGGAAAATGGCTCCAGTTAGAGGACTAAAATGCGACTTGACCTTGAGACTAAAGGCATGGAATGTACCTTCTCATATTATATTTTATAAGGTAGTGGATTTGGATGAAAGATCTGTTTTGTTTTTTTGTTTTTTGTTGGAAAAGAATCATTTAATCAAACTGCCTCGTATATTTAAATATTTTGTGAAATCAAATCTAACCTCCCCTGGTAGAACTCGTTATTATTTTCTTTTAACTTTTCTGGGGCAGTTTTATTTTTTATTTTTATGACATCAATGTATTTTAGAACCATTGGAGGTAGAAGTTTAAGGTTGTATTTTTCAAATAAGAATGAATATTAAAATAAAAAAAAGAGAGTAATGTAATGTCTACTTGTTGCACTATATGACATGCTATTTAATTTATGTTATCAAATTTTGATTTGGAGAGATTTTTCATTGTGCCTGGAACACAAGCATATGCATTATATGTCAATACATGAGTAGGGGACACTTGAAAAGAAAAAAAAAAGTAACGTTAGAGAGACTAAATTTTTCAAACTAAATGATGTATTTCTAATAACAAAAAAGCACGTTAATTAACACTAATAATTAAATATCAATTTTCATGTCATTCAGTTTACAAAATTTAGTCTACAAATTTAGTTTCACTAGCAATACTCGAAAAAGAAAAAAACCTTTCTCCACTTGTACATAATATCATATGGCGTATTGTCCCGTAATCCAAGCATATAGAAAAATATCTCCAAACTTTGGAGTACGCACATCTGGTAGGTCATAAGAGGAGAGGTGTTAGTGATTGGCCTACAGGCAAAAGCATGGTGTCCCAATTATCTCACAAGAAGTGCTTAACCAAGTGATGAACCTGTTTGCAACTGCATTTAACCGTAGTTAAAAACACTTTATAAACCAATACTCATTAACCAAATTATAAGTTATAAGAGTATCTCCAATGGGAGTCTCATCACTATCCTTGAGGACTCATTAGGAGCTTTAGAGGAGTATTCGAGTCCCTAAAAGAATATTATCTACAATGAAAATTCCTTACAGTATAATCCCTAAATATAGGGACTAAAATATTAAATTATTATTATTCATTTCATTGAAATATTGTAACCATTGATAAAAATAAAAAGCTATCTCTACCATTGATTTTTCAAGAATTATAAAATATAAAAAAAATAAATGAGAAGTTGCTCCACTTGGGTGGGTTCAAAAAACAAGGGAAAAAAACATAAAGAGCATCACTCTCATTCAAAATAAATATGAAGTCCACTATTTGAGTCCCTATATATAGTCCTCATATTTTAGAAGTCTTTTAAAGTATTCGGCAAGTCCCTATGTATTGAGATACTTTGAAAACTTCAATTACAGCCCATTGGAAGTCATTTGTCCCTATGTTTAGAGACTATACGGTTGTAGGGACTTCATTTAGGGTCTTCATTGGAGATGCTCTAAAAGCACTTGGAGAAACACCTAGATCTCCACTTTAGGTTTGTATTAAATTTTTGGCTTAAATATCAAAATGGTCCTTGTGTTTAACCATTTAGTCAATATAATTCCCGTGTTCTAAATTTAGCCGATTTTAGTGTTAAAAATCCATTTCAAAACATTACAACTTTAGTTATTTAAAGAAATAGACTCCAATTAAAAAATGATAACATTTTTGCAATAAAATAAATAAAAGTTCAACATATGAAACTATCCAAAAAGCATCATACCCAAGAGGGGTACAGGGGAAGGGAAATCAGGGAAGTGGTGCAGATTGATGCTATGAAGGTGGCACGGATGGGGGAGGGTCATCGCATTTTCATCTCAATCTGTTTCCCGCCCTATCGAGTGGATATCAACTGCTTTAGCATACGAGTCAGGCGCATTCAGTCCTGCTCTCATAGGGAACCGTTGGGTGAAGATTTACGAGAGGGAGAGTGAGTGGTTGCTAGGATAATTCACAGTGATTGGGGTGTGCCTTGGGTGTGTTCGATGGTGATGGTGGTGTTGCTAGAAAGGACTACTTTGATGATAAGCACTTTTCCTTCCTACAGAAGCGCTTTTTCTAAAATCTGTTTTATTTAAGGGCTGGTTTGGTATTACCGTATTTTGAAAAAAAAAACTGCTTCTGCTGTGCTGTGAGAATAAGCTCATTTTTGCTATTCATGTTTTCAGCTTTTTTTCACCCAAAATTGTGAAAATAAGATGTTTTTAAGTGTTTACCAAACACATTTTAAAGCTTAGTTTTTTTTTATATCCACTTTTTATAAAAGCACCTTAATACCAAACCAGTACTTAGAAGCACGTCGGATCAGTAATGTAAGTTGTAAACTTGCAAATGGATCTCTATTATTCGTCAAAGGCAAGATACAACAAAAACAACTTGTGTATTTTATATTGAAGCAAATAGCAAATGCAACATACAGTGTTGAGAACTCAAATCAATTAGCAAGTTCTTGAACTACAGTCCCAAGAGTAATACAGCTTGCAGTAAAAAAAAATGAACGAATATATCCTATCTGTGACTTAGAACACAAGTTATTTAGCATATCATTACATAACGCAAGGTAAATGACATCAATCTATACAGGAAGCAATATTCAGATGGCTAGGAATCCACAGTAACTGCTGTTACAACTATATATGTTATTGGAGTATAGGTCGAGGTTTCTACTGCGGATCACCGGTAGCCTGTGTGTTTTCCATATCCCGGTTGTTATAGTACAAGTAGCTTCTTTTTCCAGAGGATGTAGTTGTACTCAGCGCAGTAAACCGGCATAGTCCTTGTCTGAGTTTGCCAAGCATATTTCTGCTACGTAGTCAAAGAGTTTGTTTTTCTTAACAAAGGGTTGAGCTACATAGTCCCCAACTGGCATCCACTGAAAACAATCCCCAGAAAGTAACACATTAGAATAGCTTCGAATCATGTTAATGATACCTTGTAACACTTGGAAGATATGATCACATTACCAACGAATAGTTTAAAGAAGATTAACGATTATACTCAATGATAGATTATTTGTGCTCCAGGAAATTACCTGGGCTGCCTCAATCTCCGAGTTCTGCTTTTGGATGTCGAAGGATTTTGGGGTCAGCATGCAAACAAAGAACAAATCTGACTTTCGAAAGAATGACTTGTGGCTTTGCCTGTAGAGAGATGGAGAGGGTATAAAGAGGGATTTCTATAGAATTATATGCATAATAGTAACCTGATGCATGGCTTGTATAAATTCATACAACACTTGTTTAATTGGAAGGCAAGTTTCTTACCTAAATGCTAAAACCTCCACGAACTCTGTATCAATCTGTAAAATAAAAACAGACGGTGTTGATTTACATTAAGTTTGATAGCTTATGTATGATCGATACTATGTTCAATCAGTTATATACTTACTCCTGTCTCTTCTTTGACCTCTCTAACTGCAGCTTTACAAATATCCTCACCCTGTCGATGGATAAATTTTTTAATCGTGAGGATAACGTAATTGTAAATTATTAAGAATTTGCTATATAGTTGTGCTGGTGTTTTTACTCACCTCATTAACAGCCCCAGTTGGCAACTTCCACACACCTGTATTTCTGAATCTGCCACTGATCTCCTGAACCACAAGTATCTACCCAAGCGAACAATTTTAGTAGGCAAAGATAGAATGCGGCAATGAAAACATAATGTCGTTGGAAGAGGTTTCAACAGTAAGAAACTTACAGAATTACTTAGAATGATGTCAACGCGAACTATAAGTGCTTTATCAGAAACATGACAGCCAATCCTATTTTCTGATTTAGAACTTCTAAATTGTCTATGCAAATACGAAAGGAATATGCATAGCTTGCATGTATATTAAAAGAAATTTTCCTTTTAAGTTTTAGATTACGATGGATATCAGTACTCTCTCTCTCTGTGGTTATCTGATCTAAAACCTAACAACCACCGCAGGAAAGTATATAAAAGGACCAAGTTACTGTTTGATAATCTCTTTTAAATAGCAGGTTTCAGATCGAGTGAACAATGTTAGAAACTGTTCACTATTTTCTCGTTAAACCGAAGATGAAAGGAAAATGTTAAAAGTTTGAACTTTAATTTTTACATGTCATATATTGTTAAGAACACTAGGGAAACTAGATTCATGTGAGAAGGAATACCTCTCTCTTACTGTTCATGACAAAAGCGCCAATGCCTACTCGGTGCGAAGCATTTGCAGGAAGGGTGTCCTCAGTTTCGGGAAGCCAACGTACGAGCATTAAATAATCCGATTCAGCATGGTGGTACCTAAATCCTTCCTGCACAAGTAACAAAAGAAGCCTGAGTGTCGTGGCGCCAGATACCAGGAACAAAACAGCTATACTTTTGCAGCCTGAGAGGTGCCGAATTGCGCGATTATACTAATACCTTTTGTCATTTAAAAGAGTAAAGGATAGTTGATCAAGACAATAAGACTACTAGACAAGTAATATTCAGAACAGCTTCAAATAATTGATCAAAAATTCAATCTTTGAGGTGTTTCAGAAGAGATAGGCCAGTAGAATCTCTTGTACCTTAACTGCGGCATCAACAAGATTTGACCGTGCGATAGGCAATTTGATCCAAACGCCCCTCTTCCCCTACAAAATACAATGAAGTAAACAACCTTCAAATCATCAGCATCAAGTGAACACGAGACATATATAGTGAGATCGAATAAAATAAAAGTAACAATTACAAACCTTATGCCTCCAATGCGATATAGAAGCTTGAAGCAAAGAAGCAAAAACCACAGAATCCATAGGTTCGGTCATGTCAACAACAACTCCTCCATGTAAATCCTCAGTTGCAGTGAGTAACTCAACCTGTTCGACTTCATTTTCAGGCACGGCTAGTTTTGCAACGGAGGATGAATTCGTTGAAACCGACACGGCTTGAATCAAGTGAGGAACCTTATCTTTTGAATATGAAGAAATAAGTGAAAGTCACAAATCAACATTTACTTCAACCATCCACCACAAATTCTTCAGAAATAAAACTCATACTTTTCAATTGTTAGAAGACAGAAGGGATGACAAAAAGAAATTGTTAGAAGACAGAAAGGATGACAAAAAGAAGTAGTTGCACCAATAAATGACATTTCCATCGAATGCAATTTTTTTTTTCTTAAAACAGCACTTCAACATTGCTATCATTGAAAGTGACTATGATGAGAATTTATTAAAAAAAAAGAAAAATACAATATATCAAGAGAGACGTAACACCATTTTAGAAAGAAAACAAATGCGATAGACCACCAGAATAATGAAGTCTCACAAGACACCCTTTTAAAACAAGGCAGAGCTTCGTTTCTACCACACCACCATTGCACCATGCCAACATGGATTCACGAGGCATTTAGTAACAAACAACTCTTAGTTCAGAAATCCAAACTTTTGTCCTATTTAGAGTTTAGCCTCGAATTATTTTCCTTTTTGTATATTTAATCCCTAAAGGTAGCTTAGCACTTCAAGTTGACTTTTATATATTTTATTTCTCTCATTTATTTATCTTTTATTTTTGAAAGAAGTACAAGATGAGGTTCAAGATGAAGTTTTTTTTAGTGTTAATAACAACTCTTTAATGTTAATAATTACTTCTAATCCCCAGTCCACATAAAAAGCTCTTCATCATTGAGTCATATTATTCAGTAAGATATGGTTTGACCTTTTCTCATTCTTTTTGTTTGAATCTTGTTAAAGCAAGCCGGTAAGTTGATTTTTAAACAGAAAAACTAATGAAAATGACTTGAAAACTTTGAGTTTTAACGATAAGAATAAAATAAAGGATAAGAATAAAATAAAGAGTAAAGTGAATAGTACCAGGATTGACTTTTTAATGTAAATATGTAATTTTTCGTTAAAGTTAACAGTACCGGATACTTTTCGTTAAAGTTCACTTTTTAAACAATATTTTTCCACTCACATAGTTTAGATTAGATAAAATATCACTCGAATAAAAAGAATATGAAATAAAATTGAAACCTACCTTTGTGATTGCCAAGCAAGGATAACGAGGAAGGTGAAAGAGTTCCAAAGCAAGGCCTCTTTGTTAATGAATGATGAAGGGCTGCAACAGAAGCACCATTGTTTGCAGAAGAAAGATATGGCATAAGCTTGGTGGTGGCTCTGAACCTCTGCATCAACATATTGTTATTTGTGTGTGATTATGTACGTAATTAAGAATCTAAACGCCTGTGAATTAAGAATTTAAACGCGTGTTAGCAAGAGAAAGTTGATTGTTCTGTTCACTTCTTAAGGGAAGCGAAGCGTTTTATACTTTATGCTTTGGCTGCTCAAAAGACATGGTGAATTTTCCTTGGTGGCTGCTGCTGCAGCTTCTTTTGGGTTTGCGACTTTGAACGAGTAAAGTCTTTGCTCTTTTTGGCACGGTATTTGGTAAATCTTTGTCAATTTCCAAGAGACAAATATGATAGTTCAGATTAGAAGACACATGGCAAAGTGCCTGCATCTGCTCGGTGTTTTCTTGGCACTTGGTGTGTTCACATGCAGAGAGCCTGCATCTACTCAGTGTTCTTGACACTTGTGTAATTAATGATATCCCATAGTTGTCTTCAATGTAACATAAACTAATTAGCCAAAAAAAGGATATTCTACGTTAATATATATAGACCTAGTGGGTTAAAAATAATATGTTACTAATAGAAAATAAGCATGTTAATCAATATTTAAGTAATAATTCAACCATTATATCATTTGATTTATACAATTTAATTTAAAATTTTAGTATTCTTAACATTACTCTCGTATAAATATTTGCATTCTCTAGAAAAATGAGAGTACTTATATGGATATTATCTGGTAATTTGGTGTTGAAAACTTCAATGTAAATTGATCGTTGCATCTAACAAGAAGGAAACATGAGAACAGGCAAATAGTATGATTGATCAAAATACTCATTCAAATCAAAGTCAATTCTTGTGTCATGGTTTAAACATGTTTTGACACGTACACCAGACAAACACGTTTGGAAATACTTCGTGACTTCCATGCATGGTCAGGGATTGGATAGAGAAACCAACTAGAAGTCAACAACAAACATATTTAGGGTTATTATTCACTTGGACTGGGCCATCACACGAAATAAATGCCTAATTGATTTAAGGTATACTAGTCCGGGTTGGTATGATTTGGTTTGGTTTGGTTTTTCCATTAAACTGCGGTCGAACCAGTAGATGGTTAAGCAGCAGTATAGTTTGGTTCAATTGAGCTAAAAACAATATAGAAACCAAATCACTATTAGGCGGTTCGTGCTTAAGGCAATTAGGTTATGAATACTTCTTTTTCCTACTGCTCTGGCTCAATTATGGTACAAAGTCATAATTTAGAGTTTCGCCTTTCATTTCGCATCATCATGTAAAAAAAATAAAAAATAAAAAAATAAAATAAAAATAAAAATAACCTGTGGCGGCGGTGGGTAATTTTGTCTGCTTAAGTTTCTTGAGAAATGCTACAACTGCTGAGAAATTTTGATGTAAGAAGATTGGTATTTTCTACGCATCTTAGTTTCCTATTCTATGATATCCATACGTGCATGTGACATTTTATATGGTTTCTGGTGGCTCAACCCAAATCACACACTTTTTTTATGTCCTTAATCTCTGTATAAATGTATGGCAATTTTGGACTTATAAATAAAAAGCTAATCATAGGGGGCTGCCCATGATGCTTGATATAATGCTTCTCTAATTTTCTTTATCATTGTTTATATATTTGTACTTATTGTCACTAAATAAAGATAAGGACTTATATGGAATAGCATCTCATTCCAATAAAACAATGACATGTATAAGTTTTTTAACACATGAGATTGTATTATTGAATCGGGATATCACGTGACAGTGAACATATTTCATGTAAGTTGCTTCCCTAAATAAAACAAATTTATGTAACTAAAAGGAATTAAAAACAAATTTGGCTCAAATCAAATTCAACTCCAAACTTCCACGCCATAGGAGTACCTAAAGCCAAATGTTAGGAAGCCCCAACACGTACCAAGTTACCAACCAACTGAATCAGCTAGATATGCTAGATTCACAGGGTTTTAATCGTGCTCGAACTTCATCATGCGCTATTGAAGCATGCCTGATCCAGGTCAGGAAATTTGTTGTTCTGTCGACCAGCTCACATGACTACGCTCATCTTGACATGAATACGATGACTATTTTGTACTGAATGAATGCATCTATTCCTCGACTGAATCTGTTTTACTTTGATCACCATAATTAACTATTAACCATCTTATCTAAGTGCTTGATTAGCTGGACCTTGCTATTCATGCAGATACTCAGAACCGGTTTCTTCCATGCTGATCCTCATCCATGAAATCTTGCCATTGATGTGGATGAAACGCTAATCTATTACGATTTTGGTATGATGGGCGATATTAAATCTTTCACCCTGGAGAAACTGCTTGAACTTTTCTATTCTGTATATGAGAAAGATGCAAAAAAGGTGTTATTTCTATGGCATAATCTAAAGGAAACCGATTAAAATATGAACATTAATCGTCTAATATTAATTATCCCTTTTCGCTTTGCTTAGCATATGATGGCTCGGAATCATGCATTTGAATTCATTAGGAACGATCAAAATATATCATCATGTCTGCGTTAGAATATGAGTACGACAAAGAGAAGTTTTAGGGACCGGCTATAGGTATTCAGTTTGATGGAAAAGTCTTGTTGATAAGAGGAGTGCTAGTCCTTGACAAGGATTTTGTATAGCATTGAGATCAGTTCTTATGGCACAAGGAAACAAGTATTGTTTCCCATAGGGATTTTAATAGGGAATTCTATCTGTTATGGAATAAGTATCTATATATATATATATATATATATATATATATATATAGTAGCCTCTCTTCTCACTGAACACACGCTCATATTGGGACTTAAACCTATTTGTAAGTCGAGTTCTTGATTGTCTGTGAGAGAGGAGAAGGTTCACTGAAAGCTTGGTGTCATGGCTTCAAGTTCTCGAACTGCTGCAGGTATGTTTCTCTTCTTGGTTCTATCATACACGAATTCTGGTTAGTTCTTATTAGGTTTGTGAGATTTAAGCTGCATACTAACTTGGAATCAGCATTGCAGATGACTATCCTGCATATGAAATTGGAGAGAATGATGAAATCGAAGAACTTTGAAGAACTTACTGATTATAGTAATAGCCGTTAGAGTTTAAGTTTGTAATGGCTAGTTTTTCTTTCTTGTTATAGAAACTTGCATAGTTGTTATTCTTATATGTTACAGTTGTACTGTGACCTTTGATCTCTCCCAAGTGGAAGGATCATAGCCTTCGATGGCCTGAATGGCTGGAGATGTGTCCTTACTCCCTGAAATGTAGGATTTGAGCAATGGACCAAGTTAGAGTTGTAACCTTGTATTTCACTTTCTTCGATTTCACTACAGAAAATACATACAACTTCTCTCTCTGTGTTCATCTCTCACCATTGTTATATGTCATCTACATGCCTGATACCATTTCAACATGATATCAGAGCTCTGTGGTTGGATTCCGAAGAAGAGGCGTGAACTGTGAGTGAAATTTATTTATTTATTTTAACTCAGAAAAGCTAAAGACTATACCTTTGTTGAAATTTCTTGCTTGAATAGTCTGAGAGATGGTTGGTCCTAGTTCTTCTAGTTGAGATTTACGAACTCCACAATTTAATGGCAACAATTATGACTTCTAGGCTGTCAAGATGGAAACCATCCTCATAGCACACTATCTATAGGATGTGATTGAACTTAGGGTCTAGCAACAGACAAATCTCAGAAAAGAAATCTCAGATGATGATGGAAATGGGTCGGAGCATGTTCCAGTGGAGCCTTCAACAATCTCAAAGGAAGATAAGATCAAGAATGCCAAGGCATTAAGCCTCATCCAAGGAGCAATCTCAAATGAGCTTTTCCCATGCATCAGAAATGAGAAAACAACAAAGGGGGCTTGGGAAAATTTTAGAAGATTGTTTGTACTATACTTAGGGCCTCCGTATTTAGACCTCGTATAAATACTCAAGGGACTCAAATGTAATTATGTAATAAATGAATGGGCAAATATGTAATAAGAGAGGCACCCTTATTCTATAAAATGACTCATCACTCTCCTCATTAAAGGAGGCCAAGTTTTAGGCCATGGGAAGAGAGCACACAGAAAATAGGCTAGAGAGCACACTGCCTCTAGCCTTCTTGTATATTCACTATTCAGAGTGAAACAATATCAACATCAGTTTGAACGTAGCCCGAACATTGGGGTGAACCATGATACATCTTGTGTTCTTTACTTTCTTGCAGATTCACGATCGGATTTACGTTGTTCCAAGACCCCTCCAGTTTTGTGCATCAACATTTGGCGCCGTCTGTGGGAATCGACAGAAAAAGCTATGTCGGTTTTCTTTCATTTTTTTCATCAAACCTCCACCATGAATCTGCAGAAACCCAGAACTTCCCCCTTGGGCTTTTCCAGAAAAACCTTCGCAAATCTCTCTCTCATCATCCACTCTCCCTCTCTAGAAAATCCGAAACTAAGTACCGACAAAGCAAACATGGCAGAGAACAACAGCGGAGGCGGCGGCGAAGTCGCGGTGAACCAGACGATCTACATTAATAACTTGAACAAGAAAATAAAGCTGGACGAACTGAAAAAGTCACTTCTGGCTGTGTTCTCGCAGTTCGGGAAGATTGTGAAGGTCTTGGCTTTCAAGACGCTCAAGCACAAAGGTCAAGCCTGACTAGTCTTCGAAGACGTCTCCTCCGCCACCAAAGCCCTTCACCATATGTAGGGTTTCCCCTTTTACGACAAGCCTATGAGAATACAATATGCCAAGACAAAATCGGATGATGATGAGGTACCAGAGAGTGGGCCCAGGCACATACGTTCGATTTTTCAGTTCAACTTGTTCAGCAAAACCACAAGCCCACCCAGGCTCACATCCAGAAATTCATACTGACAGATTACAGTTCTTGTTCGGTTTTAAGTATATGGTCTTCTTGGTTTGCAATATACCACCAACGTAGATCCGCATTTCTGCGGCTGTGCACAATCAACCCAAAACCTCCCCACAATCCGCTCCGCCATCTCCCGCACTAAAAAGGAATAGACCATCGAGACCATCAAGGAAAACCTCGAGAACTGCCACCTAATGGCCGGAATCCGTTACAAGGGCCTCACCGTCAAGCAATTCCAAAACCTACAGAAAGTCCTGCTGGAAACCACCAAGCTCATTGTGGCGAAGAACACC